GAGGACTGATCGATGGTTTGTGCAGTAGCGCAAGCAAAGCATTTATAGTTGACCCGACATTCCTTGAGCCGAGAAACCACAGAGAGGTGTCCCCGGAGTTGCAACTTTTAAATGAGGCTATCGAAGAGGCGAGGTAAAGCTAAAAGAAAGGAAAAAAAAATTGGTTCTTCCTTGAGCTATCTAAACGTCTATAACGTGAATTCATTGCGGCAGGTTGAACTCGATCGCGTTGGAAGAGAAGAGGAACGAGATCAACGAGAAGCTCGCGAAGAAGGACAGAAAGAAGAAGAAGAAGAAGAAGGAGAAGAAGCAGAAGGGAAGCAAGGACAGTGGTGCGAGCGACAGCAACAGTACCGACCCCAGCAATTGTACACACATGGCGGAGAGCGAGAGTAGATAAATCACTGTTCAAACGAGTCACGTGCCTTGCTTCATAACTTTCGCATCAGCACGAATTCATTTCAACGATGAATTTTCAGGCGCAGTGAGCGAAATGCAAGCTTCGAACGGCGAGAACTCGGAGGTGTTGCCATCGGAGAGAGTGATGCAAATGGAGGAGGAGGAAAAGAAGGAATTGGAGGAGAGGAAATGTCATCGGGATCCTCCCATTGTGTTCAAGGATCTGGTGAACGTCAAAGAGGAATACCAAGCGTTGGTGAAATTGTTGGATGGCAAGTTGAACGAAGAGGAACGTGTGTGCATAGACGAGCTTCGGCAATATATCTTAGAGAATGAAGGCTCTTGGGCGCTCGGAGATAACTTCTTGAATTTCGTAGGTAAGGCGGCAAAAGATATAACGATATCCTTTTAATGAAAATTATTCGCTACATCTAGACTTATTAGATTGCTCGTTGTATACTTAGGGCGAATACTCTATGATAAATCATTGGCAAGCGACGCAAAAGTTAAGTTGTTGAACATTCTGTCCGTTGCCGCGTTAAAGGACGATGTGATACTGTTGCTGCACCAGGACAGAAGGGAGCACATAATTATGAATTATGCTTTCGACATCGATCGCCACCCTCAGGAGGAACAACTGCCACTCGCGCAATTTGTAAGCGAATTAGAATCGTGCCGATTCTATAGAATTAAACGATGAGTCCTTAATTCTTCATTGTACTTGTGTAACAGTTGGCGAACATGTTCGAGAATCTCAGTAGTTCGGAGTGGTTGTTATACATATCGGAATGGCAGCATCAAACTCAGAATATCAGCAACATAAGGGTGACGACAAAAGTTGCAGTGCACTCGTTGCTTTCCAACTCGATCGACTTGCAAATTCGTGGTGCTGCCATTATACACAATCTTGCCTGCAAGGAGGTAAAAACTGTGGTCTGTATCCTTCCTATCCGATTAACAATCTCCCGATTTCGCTTGCCTCTGTTTCAACTTCACAAATCATACACAACTGGGTGTGTCACACGTTTGATTTTTACAAATGAATGAGAAGCAAGAATAATCGCAAACAGTGTCCAGTTTGCAAGCAAACTGCCGTTTAACAAACGCTTCTGTCATTAATCTTGAGCAATGCAACAACGAAGGCGACGCTTCCATTATTCTCGCGAATAGAAGTGCTGCCTTTATTAATAAATCAGCTGTACTCATAAAACTGGGACGAGAGGTTCTTAACCGTGTATCAAAAAATTTGGTAACCGATTCACAGACAAGCAACGAAGCCATCATCCCAAATGAAAGCAATCGCGATCATTATAAATAGCAATGACTCGAGAAATATATAAATACGTTCCCCCCTCTCGTTGCTCGTTTGTATTTCCTGTGTACATGTGTACGACGTTGCGATGCAGTTAATGGATACCTATCGAGAGATCGGATGACTGTGTTTTCAGAAAATGAACAAAAGCAAAAATCTGCGGCGACTTTTACCAAAAGGCAGCATTTCTAAGGTACTTGTCCATGAACATGTATGTATAATTTAAACATGTATGTACGTTTAGAGAAACGGCAAGTGATTCACAACACAAATTCACTGCGTAAATGCGCACTTCATCAGTATAAATAATAATCATCATCATCATCGTCGTCATCAGCTGCAGCAGCATCGTCATCGTCGTCGATCTAATTTTAATGTCAAACAGTCAAAAGAAAAAAAAAAGAAGCATCAATTCGAATATTGATTAACTTGCCATTTTTATTTCTTTTTTGTCAGGCGCGCAATTAAACAATCACGATTTCATTTTAATCGTCTCTTGTTCTTATGAAACGCACAGGTGTTCGACGACGTCGCTGTGGAATTGACAATGGCATTGTTGCAATACTTCAATGGCAGCCCGGCTGAAGAACAGCTATACGCGTGCATGAAGTCATTGGCACGTTTCACGCAGATCAGCGGCCAAGATGTACCGCAACTCATACAAATGATTGGGCCGGAACCAAACAAATTTCGTGGAACGTCCGAGAGGATCGACGAACAAATTGACCAGGTCAACAAGAAGTTGCGTTAATGTAACGACGTCTGATGTGTACAATCGCGTTAAGAAGAAATATTGTTAAATTCCAAAATCCACGATGCAAATCGGGAATGGCATTAATTGCGTTACAATTAAACTTTTACATAGGGATTTCATCGAAACTATACGAACATATAGTATATTATTATAATTATTATTAGTTATTGGCGTCACCTAATAATAATATTATTATTATTGATATTATTACAATTATATTACCATTATTGAAAATTTTAGTTCCTTTCAGTTTCACCTAATTTTTATTGCGCGAAATGATGTATTTGTTAGATTTAACTGAAACTAGCGTAATTGATGGTTCTAGAAGTTTCTATTATTGAAGAAATCTATGCTTGAACAAAGTAAATTGAATATTACTCTGGATCAGAGTACGAAAGAATCTCTGGTGATTAGCAAAAGGAATATTATTGTAAAACCTTAGTAAAATTAGGAGATTAGCGACTTATAGGAAATATGTAGAGCGCATCTTTGGAATTCACTATCACAATTGTGAGGGAAAGTGAATTAAATGCTAACGTTGAGGCAATGGAGCTTTATGAAGTGGAACGTTATTTGTTTTCAAACTGCTGGGAAAGCACACGTGACAGATAATTCATGCAAAACCGTTTGCAATTCTATTCTCGTTCAACATGTAGATCTCCAAATGTAAGCATATGTATACCATGCGATTAACGTAGAATAGGATAATGTGAATCTAACATAATATACTTGTTACCAATCAGAAACACCATGGTAATATATTAAGTAAACGCAATAAAACGCAATGGATCGATTTGTTCAGCAAAATTCTTGTAAAAACGCACGGTCGAATTAACACGTTCTGCCTAATTCAAACCTTCGCCCGACGTGTCAAGTACCATGAGAGTGTACGCTCATCTCTCCGCCATTTAAGATTGCTCGTGACTGAACGCTTTTGTCCTTAATTGATGATTCTTATCAACGTGTCAACAAGCCGTCGCACGCGTACAGTTCGTAATCGTAGAATCGAGGGAAGACGAGAATTTTCGTCGGCGCCAAATGTTTGCCTTAAGATTTGACGAGAGACACGCGAACGATAACGATTTAAAAGCGAATGGAAATATGCTGATAGGGAGGTAGGTGTAGGGATCGTTGTTATGCTCGTGAATATATCAGTGCGCAACACGGCTCCTCCAAGTCAACTGCATTCGCCTTTTTCTTCTTTTTTCCTTCCTTTTCTCTCATCGCTGCTGTGAAGTGATATATATAAAAAAAAAGAAAAAAAAAAAGAAAAACGTACAAGTCCGACTATAACTTGGCTCCAGAGAGTATCATTCCTCGAATATATTTTTCATAATTCTCATTCTGCAAGAGAAGATGCCTGCCACCGTGAAAGAATCTGTCCCGTTGGAGGTACCATCGACGTCGAGCAAATCGAGCTGCTCGATCGTTAAATACGCGACGATAGTCAATTGGTTGCCAAAGTACTCTCGACTGGACGCTGTTTCCGATCTCGTGGCTGGATTCTCCGTAGGATTAACCGTGATCCCGCAAAGTATCGCATACGCTGCACTCGCAGGTTTAACTGCCCAGGTATATACTCTTCATTCCGATTTATTTATCGTTTATTACTATTTGTACACGTTATTTTCTCCTAGTGTTCCGCGATGATTGCCCTAAAATTAAAAGAAACTGGATGATTCTTCTCCTTTCTTGAAAGAGATATTCATTTTCAAATTAATTTTCAAAAGGTCTCCCGAAACAGTGTCGCAGACATCTGTGAGATTCTATGCTTCGATTTCGCTGAGAAATCGTTCAACTTCAATTTGTCACTTCTATTTTTTTTTTTTTTTTTTTT